CCCCCCACCCCCACAGCTTGTAGGAGGGCGAGCCAGGATGCAAACCAATTTCGTCTAAGTCCAGGACCATCACCATTTTCTCCAGCATGTGGTCCTAACACTGGCCAGGCACGTTCATCACATTTACTGCTTCATCTTCCTTTTCTTTTTCCTTTTGGCACGTACCGAATGTCTTCATTGATTCATAAAGGACCCCAAATGCTTGAGCCTGAGGCGGAATCAGGGAGACAGGGCGTTTTGTTTTTTTGTTTGCCCCTTCAGCAAAGCAGGAGGCTGTCGCTCCTTGGAACTCATCTTCCTATATACTCAAGTGCCTCCCGAGAATTCCAAAGCTGGGCATGAATATGTAGACACACAAGAAATGAGGAGGGCAGATGTTGCGCGGATCTCTGCTGGGCCATTTCACACCATAGCAGCTAATATACAGCACCTTTTTTGGCTGTCAAGAATGGTTTTGTGCCTGTTTATCAGTCTCCTTCCTTGCTTCTTCTCCACTGCCAGACCCTGCATTTACATCTTTCTCTCTGTCCCTCCAATAAAAACAGACTTTGATTCCTCCCTTTTCACAGAAGGTTAACTCAAGCCTGTCCAAAGGATGACGATGGTTGTCGGAAGAACTTGTTGGTTTCAGACTGTTGTCACGTGTGACCGCTCACCCCTCCCTGCTCCACCGGTCCCTGCCACTAACCATCTCCATCACGTTTCCTTTGTAGTCTGTTCATCATGGAAAACGCGATGGCAAGTTATTTTTGGAACTCATCGATGACCAACCTGCTTCCTTTGGTTATCCGAAATCCAGTGTCGGGCCAGGGGAGGGGCGTGGTGCAGCAGTATGCAATGCCCGAGTCCTTCTCTCTCTTTACATAGACAGTATTGGTGAGCTGCCAGAAGGTCAGGGTCTCGCACAGTTTTCTTCTGCGGTAATGGTGAGAACATCCATCCAAAGTACACATTTTGGACCCCTCTTGGTCTATTCTTTTGTTCACTAAAGTATTCATCGTGTGCTAACTGTGTGCTGGGGGCGTTGCATAGAGGAAAGGGGACGATGGCGCTAACAAGCCTGAGGAGACTCTTGTGCTCGTGAAACCCACATGCAAACCAGAGTCATAGCAAACAGGACGGCCACTGCATAGCTTTCTACAGAGGGACATGGCTTCTGTGACACAATGGAAAACTGATGGATTAGGCAGGGGATGTCAGAAATCTGTTTAGTGAAGATTCCCCCAGGCTAAAAGAGACACTGGGGACTAAAGTCTGGAGAGTAAATCAGCTCTGACGAGTCAGGGGAAATCCAGCCTAATACATGGGGGGCTCGATGGTGGAAATGTGGCTCTGAGTGAAGGTCCAGGGGACTGAGTATGGCCAGAGCAGAGAGAGGAAGAGGACAGAGGGAGAGCAGTGGGTTCTTCCATAGGCAGTGGAACCTTCAGGATGCTCTGGACTGTGGTGAAGAGTTTGCAAGGCATTCTAAGGGCAGTGGGATTAACTCGAGGGTTTGCATCAAGCAGGTGATCTATGGGCTGTGCATTTGTACTCCTGTGTGCTAAAGCTTGAGTATGGGATGTCCCCTACAGGCTTATGCATGTCCTCTGGCGGGTGGTACTATGTTGGGGTGCTGTGTCCAGGGATTTTTCTGGGAGTAGTAGGTTATTAAGGACATGCTTTTGAAGGTTAGTAGACCAGTCCTAGCCCTGGCTGCTCTCTGCTTCCTGATTGGTTAGGATGTGAACAGTTTCTACCTCATGCTTCCATTTTCGTGGACATACGTTCCACTATGCAATAATGACTGACTCACCACTCTGAAACACATCTTCCCTCTTGTGAATTCTTTCTGCCCAAGATTTTAGTCATAACTCTGCAAAACTGACTAATACAGAAAGTCAGGCAAATGACATCATGGCTGTGAGAAACCTGACCATAGTGTTCTCAGGCCGTTGGAACTAGTGTGTGTGGAGAAATTTGGAAGAGTTTTGAGGTGTGAGGTAGAGAAGCTCTAGAATGCTATAGACAGAACACGAAGGAGAATTCTGCTGGGACTTAGAACCCAGACAGAAGCATGGATGGATGCTCTTGAGGATCCAGATGGGACAAGACTCTGTTGGGGATCAGACTAGGGAACATTTGTACTGCATTCTGACAATTCTTTGTCTAAATTCTACCCACACCCTGAAAATTTGAGTGAGGATGAACATAAAGGTAACATATTAATTTATTAGGTGGGGGAAATACTGAGTACAGCATCTAGACTGTGCTGTGGTTAGTACTGGCTTCTTAAACAGATTTACAATGGCAATCAGGAGCAAGACGTGGATAGAAAGGTGAAAAACAAGCAGAGTGGTCAGGAAGAGGGCATGTTGAACACAGACAAAGCAGGTCATTGTTGAGAAGATGCATGTGGTTTAAAAGAGAACTGTACAGCTTTCGCTGTAACAATAAAGAACATTCCTTGAGGACTGTACCCCACCCAGTGAAGCTCCCAGGCAAACAAACCCTGCTGACAACCTTTCATTTAAAAAGTGAGTCTCAGGGGTATCCTTCTCAAATCGCTCTGCCTAACCAAGTGCTTTCCCAGGTTATGCCACACAAGTCCAGATGAGCCTGACAACGTCTTGAGCTTGCAGTGGAAGCTGGCATGATAGTTGTGGTGTTTGTTTTCCAGGTTTGTGGAATGAAAGAATTACAGTGCTATGGAGGCTTGAACCGAAGCTTTAGAGAAAAGCCAGCGAGGCTACACAGTGGACAGCAAGATCAGCGTCCTGACGAGAACTGCTGGGAGGCTGGTCTATGAATCTGCAAAGCTGAAGTAGCAATGGGTATCTCAGGAGATGACAAGGATGTGGGGAAGTTACTTGAGGACAGCTGGGGGCACTAAATGTGACTGGCCAAATGAAAGGCCATGTGCACATGCTGAGGCGGTATGGGAGGGCTATCTATGCTTTTCAGAGCTTCGCTGTTACTACTGTGTGCCCTGGATGGAGGTGGGAAGCCTAAGATGATACCGTGTGCCCCAAATACCAGACTCAGAGCTACTGGATTTAATGTCTGCCCTACTAGGTTTCAGTATTGCTTTGGTCTGGCCACATCTCCCCTTTTGGAATGATGCTTACTTGGCACCAGCCTGTCTTGGCAGTATACAACTCTCTCTCTCTCTCTCTCTCTCTCTCTCTCCCTCCCTTTCTTTTGTTTCATATGGGCTCACAAATAAGAGTTGGCTTTGAGCCTTGGAAGAAATTTTGAACTTTTGAACAGTATTGAAACTATGAAGATCACAGGGACTCTTGAAATTTAACCAACTGCATTTTGCCTTATGGGAGTGGGGCTGTTGTGATTTGAATCATCTGCAATGTCCCCCACAGGCCTGTGCTTTCAAGGCTTGTTCCTTGGATGGTGGAGCTGGTCTGAGGGGGGAATGTTGAACCTTTAGGTGGCTGGACCTTGCACTCTGCTTACCGGTTGGCTGGGAAGTAAATAGCTTGTGTGCCTGTTGCTGCAGACACGTCTCCCGTTGTTGTGTCTTCCTAGCCTCGAGGAACCGAAATTTCTCCAAAACCGTGAGCTAAGATAAATCTACAAGGTGTTTCTGTGGAGTATTTTGATCAAAGCAACTCATCAGGGACTGGTGCAGTGCACTCCCAAGCAAATTACATTCTGTGCAGATGCAATGGGCGATGACCATGCATTCAGACAGTTTATTCTCTGGTGACTCTAACAACGGTTCTGTTGGAGATGGACGGCTGAGCCCAGTTATTGTTGTTTGGAGGTTAACTGAGGCATGGAAGGCTAATAGTGTATTGGAATTTATGCTCCCCTTCTCCAGAGCAGAGTCATCAGTGGGAGGAAGCTTCCAAAGACTACGTTTTCCAGCCTCCCTTGTCTTCATGTGCAGCTCCATGTGGCCTCATTTAACATGCAGCCTTTTAGTGTGGATCGAGAAGTCACAGGCTAAGAATTGCACAGAAGCCATCAGTCCAGCCCCCAAATGACCTCATGGGGGAACACTGCTCGGTTAACACATGGGCGTCACCAACCCGTAATAGTCACTGCAAGAAGAAAGTCAAATAACGACCAATCAGAGAGACTGAATAGTGACTTTGGATTAGCTGCTCAAGGATAGCCTCTGAGATGTGTGGCAGGAGGGGCCAGTCATGCGAAGCACTATACAGAGACAATCTATGCAAAGGGCATGTTAAAGCAGGCCAGATTTGCTGGGATGTGTAACACAAGGAGAATTAAATGGGACCTAGTACAGAAAGTAAATGGGGTTCAAATCATGAACGTTGAGTTTTAGTCTGAGTTTGAAAATGCAGTTTTATTGGTTAATTTGCTTCTTCTTCAGTGTGTGGAGCTCTGTGGCTGATGTAGACGACGGGATATGGTAATGTTAGAGTACATATGAGTGGTCTTGGTCAAGAGGCTGTGCACCCGTCCATGTCTATTGGTAGCCTATACTTGCTGGTAGCTACCAAGACAGGATGGAGTCTTATGGCATGTTTTAGAGGGGTTGTCAATGACGTTTGTATCTGGAGAAGCATCAGATAAGAAACCCTTGATGTACATATGCGCTGAGAGGTTTACAGGGTCCCACATGGGGTGGGGAATCTGCATAATTTGGTTGTAATTCTTCTGCGTGGAAGACTTCTCCACTCTTACTCACTGGCTTATTGGTTCATCAGTATACATCCACGCCTACCTTCCTATTTGGGATCACATCCCAGTGTTACATAGTTGCAGTATGGGCTCTTTTCCTTGGTTCCCCTTCCATTCAGTATATCTATCCCATCAGTGCATTCTTCCTGTGCTTATGTGTTTCCTGATTGTGAGGCTCAAGGATTGACATGGATATTCCTTACTGCAGTTCCAGAACCAGCCATTTCTCCTAGGAATGCTATTTCCTTTTACTGACAATTCATAGTTGAAACCGAGGTCTCTCTTCAAAGAGTGGTTGTTAGTTTGGAAAATCAGTATTTCTAAGCCCTCAAAAACATTTACTTAGCTCCCAATTTTGGGTATCAGCCATTTAAGGCAGGCTCAATCAGGTAGGTTTCCCAGTCTCAACCAATTTCAGTTGATTTTGCTCCTACATCTGTGGTTACCTGGTGGGTTGTCAAGCTTTATGGCAGCCACAACTGGTATGTCTAGGATGACTATACATTTTTATTCAGGGTCTTTTATCGTCAAACACACTAGCTTAAGCCAGTTCTTCATAGCAGGATTCAGAAGCATCAAGAAGAAAACCACACAAAGTATTTTGGGTCTGTCTTAGGGTTTCTATTGCTGTGAAGAGACACCATTATGGCAACTCTCATAAAGGAAACCATTTCACTGGGGCTGGCTTACAGTTTCAGAAGTTTAGTCCATTACCACGATGGCAGGAAACACGGTGGCATGCAGGCAGACATGGTGCTGGAGAAGGAGCTAAGAGTTCTAGATATTGATTTGCAGGCAGCAGAAGCAACTGTGTGCCACACTGAGCATAGGTTGAGTATAGGTCTCCCATCGTGACACACTTCTTCCAACAAGGCCACATCTGCTCCATTAAGGCCACACCTCCTAATAGTGCCATTCCCTATGGGCCAAGCATTCAAATATACGAGTCTATGGGGGGCTATTCCTATTCAAACCCATGACAGGGTACTAGAACAAACTCACTAAATGGTGCCTCTGCTACCTCCTATTGGCCAGAGCAAGTCAGGGGGTAAGCCTAGATTTAAGGGGTGAAGAAAGAAATTCCATCCCTTAGGAGACACAAATGCAGACAACCATGCCATAAATTCCATCGCTCAAGGGAAGCATAGGCAAGCAACCATGGCTGTATGCATAGTTATGCGTACATGGGGAACACTGACAGCCATCCTGGCAACAGAGAGGAAGCAAGCAGAGTGAGAGTGTGAGAGGTCACTGTCTCGGGGGTTACAGCTGAACGTCTGAGACTGGAGAGTATTATACAACGGCAAAAATAAAAGGTGAGATATTGACTCCTTGTTGAAATTCATAACTTAGCTGAGGCCAGAAGTAGACATTTATGGGTGGACAGAGGGGACTCAGAGAGAGCAGGTGGAATATGACTCCTCAAGAATCACAGACAAGAACCACGGAATAGTTCCGCACGAAGGCAACAGTGGTGGAGGAAGAAGGGGAAAAGATGGACCTGTATTTTACTGGTCTAGCGGGGGTCAAAATCATTTCAAGAATTTCCTTCGAGCAAAATCACTTGAACAACTGTCTGTATCCAGCAATAACCATGCCTTTTTTATACCCTTTCTCACCTTTTCCTACGGACACTTTGTAAGGTGGTTCGTAATCTATTTGGCAGTATTTCTGTAGCCAAAATGAGCAGTGTGAAATATAAGTAGGCTGGCTGCCTGAAGTCTCCCTACTCTGACATGAATTATCATTTGATACTTAGAGTATGCAACATTTGCTTAATGGACATCAGATTTGCATCTAAGCTAATGACCTGAGACCCTCAAATCCATATTACTTACTTATCTTTCCCTCCTATTCTATTTTCCTGAAGAAACTGTATTTCAAGGAGAATTTATCCTTGAGAAGCAGCTGACTCCACCATTATATGATTGCTCTAAAGGTGGTGAGCATGTTTTTGCAGGCAATTGTAGAGCAAGTTGTTCTCATGGAAAGCAAAGTGTGCACAGTGATAAAAAAAAAACTATTGCTAGTGGCACTTTAATATTTACACCGAGAACATGCGCAGCTGACTTGTGAATAGCTACCACCAGAAACCTACCTGCCAATATATTTATATTTTTCCTTAGAAGAGATGTGAACTCCCAGTCTTTCTCTCAGATATGAAAATAGAGACTGTTTATGAAGGGAAATCACTTGAAAGGGAGAGGTTAAACTACACTGAGAAGCAGGAACCCCAGGTCATGGCCCTTAAGGTCATTTACACAGCAGCTGCCTTTCTGCCCTTACTTGTACATTGCTGGCTGTTCTGACCCATGTTCTGTCGTTACCTGTGGGCAGCGCAGGGTTTCCAGACTTCTTTTGTCTCTTATCCTCTTTCATACACTAATCTTGATGACTTTCCCTCCAATCCCTGCTCTCTTATGACCCCCTGACCCCAGAGTGATAGTCACAAAAATCTTCTTGAAATTGAAAAAAAAATCCATACAATATGTTTTGATCCTGTCTTCCCCTCCCCCAATTCCTCCTAGATCCTCCCCATCTCTGCATCCAGCCAACTTTATGTTCTTTCTCTCTCTTAAAAACAAACAAAACCAAGAAACACACACACACACACACCACAAAAATGAAAATCAAAACAAATAAGCAAAAAACCAATAAGACAAAAAAGTCAAAACAAAAAACAACAAAACACAGTCCACAAAAATACCACTGAGTTCATTTTATGTTGGCAAGCTACTCCTAGGCGTGGGGCCTGCCCTAGAGCCTGGTTGACACCCAGTGAGACTTCACGGGAGAAAACTGACTTCCCCTTGACCTGTGGGTATCAATTGTAGATAGTTTCTTGGTTCCAGGTGGGACCCTCTTAGTGCTGGGACTCTGTCTCTATCGAACCTATGCAGGCCTTAATTCAGCTATTAAGAAAAATTAAAGTATGAAATTCACAGGTAAGTAGATAGAAACAGAAAAAAAATCATCCTGAGATAACCTAGCCCCCCTGCCTCAAGAAATACTGTAAGTTTTTCTTATATGTGGGTGTTAGCTTTTAAGATTTCAATGTGTACTATAATCCAAATAACCACAGAGATTAGGTACCTAGTAAGGGACTAGGGTGAAGGAGAGGATCTCCCAGGGAAGGGGAAATAGAAAACTTGTCATGGAGAGACAAAGAGGAAACTATAATAGGGGGATTAAACAGGGAGGGGGATGGGAAAGAATGGTAAAGGAGGGAATATGGGGAGGAACAAACTGACAAAAAGGTCATTTGAACAACCAAATGTAAACCTACGACTGTAGAAACTTCCATACGTATATACATATAAAAATGGGAATCTAAGCAGAGTAACCAAATAATAGGGGAGACATCATCCCAACTTGACACTTCTCACTATCAAAGGAAAACCTCTAGTGCCAGGAATGAGCTACATCTAATTGAGTTGTTGGCCAAAGAGGTCAAACAACCCAGACTATTGCCAAGGCTATTGATTACTGTCCACAACTCGATGGATGGTAAGGCCCTATCACTGAAGACAAAACTTACTTATGTCCTCTGACAGGGAGAAGTCAAACTGGTGCCTCACTAGAAGCTTCACACCTACTGGGTAGCATTCAGGGTTCTGTGTGGTGCTCAGCATGCTCCTGGAAGAGAAAGGTAATCATCGATGTCACCTAGCTGTGGACCCTACAACCTACACAGTGACCTGCCTGTAAGATACACTGGTAGTAGTGGTACAAGTGTTATGGAAGTAACTGACAAACTAGCCTGCCTCCATCTTAGGCTTGAAAGCCAGCCATCGTATAATAAAAATAAACTAGATTCATTCCTGTTTATTAAATTAGATTCTGTAGATGAAATCTGTTTCTCAAGGATTGGGCTATGCCCCACCTGTAACCTTAACTAAAAATGGTTCTGTACAGCCTGTTCTAGGAAATGACAACCATGGCTTTATTTAAAAAGTTCTTTTGACCACCTTGTTATGATCACCTTGTTATGACCACCTTGCAACCATGCCTTTGTTTTAGCAGGTTGTTATGACCAACTTGCTATGCTTATGTTCTGACTCTGTAGCCCAGCCTATTTGCCTGCCAAATCCCCATTTGGAAACCCCCTACTCTTGAACTATAAAAACACTTCTCTCACCCATGTCTAATACTGATCTCTTGAACTCTGCCTTTAGGGAGAAAAATCCCATGTGAATGAATTAAAAAAGCCTGGTCTAATTAATTTGGTCATTAGAATTAACAGTAACCAACTACCTTTTGATTGTATTTAAGGCCCATTCCATAACATGGAACCCACACCTGACACTACTAAAGTGTGTAATAACCTAAGACTAGATAGAGCATGGGCATGGGGGAAAATCTAATACTATTATTTTGCTAAAGAAACCTAGAATAAAATGGCCCTAATGACATACCACTATAACCATAGACCAGTGCTTCAATCAGCCCACATCAGAGAAGCTTCTTCTTGTAGTAGATGGGAATTAACACAGAGACCCATAACTGGACAATGTGTAGAGAGTGGGAGACTTTGGAGCACCTAGTCCTAAATGGCATGTTTTCATCAAACCCCTCCCTCAGGTCTTACAAGTCTACACAGAAGAGGAGGCAGAAAGATTGCAAGAGCCAGACATGATGAATGACTCCACAATCATCTGAGAGAACAGAAAGGTGATGATCAATCTTCCATACAGAGAGGAGTGTAGTCCTTGCTCAGAGAGACTTCAAGACGCTTTCCTTTCTTTATCTGTTGGTTGAAGAGGAGGCTTTCAATTTCCTTCAGTCAGAATTGGCTGGAATCCCTGCATCACGGGGAGCTTAGTTTGAAATTGCCACATATCCTAGAGAACCTGTGTGACTCTAACACAGCCTTTTCAAGGACCAAAGATATTAGGTATATAAATCCATGAAATACCAGTACTTCTTTCACATTTACATTTTATATCTCTGAATACTTATTTGACCCAATGATCATGAATATACTCAATAACATCAGCTTATATATCTTCTAATTTTATATTCCTTTAAGCTTCCCTACTATTCAAGTACAATATAATGATCAAATATAATAATAAAATATACTAACCAAAATATTTGGTTCTGGTTGGGTTTAGGTTTATAGCCTTAAATTTAAGAATAAAACATAATAAACTTTTTTTATATGAGTGCTCTACTTGCATGTATAACCGCATGCCAGAAGAGGGCATTAGGTCCTATTATAGATGATTGTGAGTCACCATGTGGTGGCTGGGAATTGAACTCAGGACCTCTGGAAGAGCAGCCAGTGCTCTTAACTGCTGAGCCACCTCTCCAGCCCCATAATAAACTTTTTAAAAGTAAATAAGTTTAGAGGAAAAAAAGAATGCAAATTTTTATTGTTAGATTTCTTGTTTAACATGACTCTGGACAACTATATTTAGCTCTGCTGTCTCCCAAAGTTAGAAATGTCTCCCCAAATAACAATGCATTAAGAATTGAGTTGAGAAAATAAGAGTTTGAAAGTTGATAAAGTAATATACTAGTAGAAATAGAAGTATTTCACTTAATTCTTTTGTTCAGTGTTCTCTTTTAATTTTAGGTTAACTGCAGATCACGACTAGGAAATGATTGCAATTATATATTTTTACTAGAAGGTAAATAAGCTATACTATTGCCCACAATGTAAAAGGAAAACATACAAAAAAAAAAGAAAAGAAAAAGAGATTGGGAATTTGTAAGTACAGAAATCAGAACGCTAAAGGCAATTACAAAACTAAAAAACAAACCAAACAAAATATTCCCAAACAACAACAACAAAACAAACTAAATCTACTATTTTAATTATGTTTAATGTTGACATTGAGTAGATAGGGGCAAGGTTCGAACCAGGGTTCTAACATCGATATGAGAGACAATAGGTAAAGTATGGGGGAAGTATTGCCTCATGGCAAGGTGAAAAGCCAAGGTTAGTGTTTGTAGTGGAACCAAATACTAAGCCTTATGAAGAACTTCAGAATAATTAAAGCTATGCTAAAATTGAGCAGCTATCTTCTAGAGTAATGAGCATCTAACCTTTGGATGTTTACACGGCCTTCTTATGTGGCCCTCATGTAACTTCTATTCATCTCCCATCTCAGGAACTCAGGGCTGTGATCCAAGAGACACTCTTGATTTTTCCACTTGCCACATCAATATCATTCCACATGCAAATCTTATTTATCATATCCCCAAATTACCTATCAAAGACACTTACTTCTTTCCATTTCCACTCAAACTGCCACGAGCTCTTATCCAAGCCACAAAGTATTTCTTCTAGCAAGAGGTCTGATTTAAACTCTTCCTGTAATACATTCTCCACTTAGAAGAAAGGCCATCCTTCGAAAGCGTAGAGGATTGGGGCCATAGTTCAGTTATTGGGGTGCTTGTCTAGTATGCATGAGGTCTTGGGCTTGATTCCCAGTACTTCATAAGTGTAGTGTGGCATCTCACACATGTAATCCCAGGACTTAGGAGGCAGAGGCAGGAGGATCGCAAGTTTAGCATTATCCTTGGCTGTGTAGCAAGTCTGAGGCTAGCCTGCACTATAGCCGGTGGCCGCTGTGGTGCATGCCCTTTCCATCACCTTGCTGCAGTCACTTTGCTCTTACTTTGCTCTTCTACTCTTCTCTGTCTCTCTTTTTGTTTTTTTGTTTTATTTTGCCTCTTTTCCTTTCTACCCTCGCCATACCCCTTTCACGTTTTTTAGTGATTTGATCTGCTGTGGGGTGTCTTTCTGTATGCTGTGAATATCTGTGGCTCCCATTGGATAGATAGATAGATAAAGCTGCTTTGGCCTATGGCAAGAAAGCTTACAGCCAGGCAGGAAGTCCAAGCAGAGAGAAGAAGGGCAGAGCTGGGAGAGACAGCAGCCTGCCGCCGAAGGAGCAACAAGATGCCAGCAGACCGGTGACGCCACGGCCACGTGGCAACATATGGATTAATAGGAATGGGTTAATTTAAGATGAAAGAGTTAGCTAGCCAGAAGCTGAAGCCATAGGCCATACGGTTTGTAATTAATATAAGCCTCTGTGTAATTATTTTATAAGCGGCTACAGGACTGCTGGGCAAGGCAGAACAGGAGAAATTTCTGCCTGCATTGGTCATTCCCACTCTCTATCTATCCAGTCTCTTTATTTACAGCTTAGATGACGCCTGTTCTGATATCCCTTACCACCCACGGACCTTCATTCACTCTCCTTGTTCATACCTTGTTTATTTCCTTACCAAAGAAATTTCTATACACGTGTTTTTTGTTTTTTGTTTTTTTGGTTCATTCATGTTCATATTCAACAACTTTTCTCTGTGTGTCTCCTGAATGAGAACTTGAGGAAACAATGCTCTTGTCTACATCCTTTAATTCTGGTGCACACTTTCATGGGGATGCACACTTTTAATTTCTGCACTTGGGAGGCAGAGGCAGGTGGATCTCTGTTCAAGGCCAACCTGGTCTACATAGTGAGTTCTAGACCAGAAAAGGTTACATGGTGAGACCCTGATTCAATAAACAAAGCAACAACTCATGTATGATACTTATAATTAGTGACAGATAATTTAGTAAACCTGAATTCATTGTCTATACCTAATTTTTAAGTATCTGTAGTGATATATTTTTGAAGCTATCTCTACTCTCTTCTAAAAGATCTTTACCAAATTAAGCTTTGGAATGTTCAAATTCATTTGAGATGAATAAAAGAACAGAGAATGAGGAATATAAAAAAAGACAATTAACCCCTCTATTCTATACCTGAAATGCTAGTCATTCTAATGAAAGTCTAGTCCTGGCAGAATCTCCCCATTTGCACTGTATTGGTCAGTATTCTTTTTGATCTGATTAATTTCACCATTACTGCCCAGTTTCATCATTCTTATTACTAGCTGTTTCTTTGATAGAATGGTATCAGCACAAGAGTTTGTACAAGCTGCTGTCTACTGTCAAATGTGGTACTGTTCCTGCTGTAGGCATATAAAAGCTACCAGAAGCTTGCTATCTGTTAACATGTCAGCCAGGACAAATGACAAAGTCTTCATCCTTGTCTTCCTACTTGAAAGGCTGTGTAACACCCAGTCTGAATTTTTTGTTTAGAATTTTATTCTGTCACCCTTTTTTGTCATACAATCCATTCTCTGCCTCTAACTGTATGGAAATCCTCCTACATTCTCCAAGGACAGAGAGGTGAGGGAACGCGTGCCAATCAACCCTTCTCTCCATTTGTTTAAGTATTCCCCCTGGAGATTTTTCATTTACTAACAATATCCATAATTTTATATAGACAATGCAAATGTAAACTTCAGCTCAATCCCTGTGCAAATAGTTTACCACTGCATTTGATCAGATGTGATGGTTAATCTTGATTGTCAACTTGGCCGGCTTGAGGAATGCATAGGAAATCAGGAAAGCACACATCTGAGTTTGTCTGGTGAGGGTTTTTCCAGAAATTATTAGCTAAGCAGGAAGGATTCACCCTGAATGCAGGCTATTCCATCCTGCAGACTGAGGGCCTAGATCAGTGGCTCTCAACCTGCGGGTCACGACCCCTTTGAGGTTGAACGACCCTTTCATAGGTCACCTAAGACCATCAGAAAACACAGATATTTACATTATGACTCATAACAGTAGAAAAATACAGTAATGAAGTAGCAATGAAAATAACTTTATGATTGGGGGTCACCACCACATGAGGAACTGTAAAAAGGGTCGCAGCATTAGGAAGTTTTACAACGATTAGCCTAAATAGTGCAAAACCAGAAGTCAGCCGCTAACATTGACATATTCTCTCTGCTTCCCGACTTCCCGAGGCAAGCAATCCCACTCTATCACGTCCTTTTGTGGTGACGTTTAACAAACTTGCTCAACTGTGTCCTTTTGGTTGTGACATTGAGCAGTCCTGCCCTACCAAACCCTTCTGTAATTTTCTACACTACAGAAGCAACAGAGCAGCTGACCAGTGACTGATACCTCTGAAACTGTGAATCCAAAAGGAAGCTTTCCTCTTTTGAGCCTTATTTCTCAGATATTTGTCACGGTGATGCAAAGTGACTAACACAGAAAATTGAGACTGAGAAATACAGCCATTGCTGTGATTGTTTGGTAATGTGGTTCCAAAGTCAAGATACACTTTATATTTCCTATGACATTTTCAAAAATAAATATTTTAAAAATTAAAGCAGTTGTTAATTTATTTTTTTCATAATTTGATGGGCATAATCACACATTGCCAGGTGCAGTTTTAACAACTTTTCTTATTCAGTTTTACTCTGACATTTATAAAAATATTCTGTCATTTTAAAAATTAAATTGCTTTGTGGGAGGAGTTTTGAAATGTTTGGAGATGTGGGGCTAGAGAAGCCCCAGGATTCTGTCAGTAGAGCTTAGAGTGATTTTGGTGAGCACTGGGAGGACTGGAATGCCAGCAGAACTATGGATAGCAGAGGCCCTCATGAGGTTTCAGATGGGGATAAGGACTGTCAAGAATTTGACAAGATACCATTGGTGTTACATTCTGGCAAATAACTTGTCTGTATTTTGTCCATCTTTGAAACTTTGTGGGCTTTGAGTTTTAAAGTTGTAGACTAGCTTGTCTAGTGGAGGACACTTATGGAACCCCAAAGGAAGGACACCTGAGCCAGAATTCCACAGACTGATAAATTATAAA